AAAGGGATATACATTATAAATATAAGAATTATCTAGGAAATTAAACATATATAATGAGCTATTCTTTAACCTTTGCATTATTTTATAATTTGTACACTCACCAATCTTAACATATTCACACAAACAAGAAAATCAGCAGATTCTATTCTTATCTTTTAAATTATCTGCTAGCAATTTGGTTGTAGCCATTTTTTTTTTCTCTTGACTTTTATTTTGATCGAAATATACAAAATATTAAATATTTGTTTCTATTATTCATTTGATCTTGGTACTGAGCAGAATCAATGAGTGTGTCGAATGTGTGTTCGTCGATGCATTAGTTGTTTTTATGTAAACGCTATAGTTAAAACACAGTGGTATGTTGTTGGACACGGCTTTTATTGTTTTAACACACATCAATATAGAAATCCCCGATTTCATGTATTTGAAAGTACAATATCATGTTTTGAATTCTTGAAAAACAAACTGAAAAAGGAATAATAATATTTAGGGCATTCTCATACTGAGCCACTAGATTTTTTCACGAGGAGTCCACTTCTGCTCTGCCACAACTAAAATTTAGAGACCTCATTACGATTTTGAGTTGTCAAACTTTTTTAGTGAAATACAAAGCAACAAAGTGTCAAAATTTTAGTTGTGGTCTAAAAAAGCAGATCGGTCTTAACCATGATTGGAAGCTAGTGTCCCACTTATTACCTCCCAATACAGTTAGGGAAAGTTTTTATTCTTTTCAGAATTAATTAATTGAGTAGTGTTAACAACATGATCTACCTTGAACCAATATAGTGAATCAATTCAAAGAGAAGAGAAGAAGAAGAAAGATAGAGAAAAAATCAATAACATATTGAGCCGTCAAAAATTAGGTTTTCCATAAAATACACAAGTTTATATATTACAAGAAAGTAAACAAAAAGCAAACATATAGAAGGAAACTAAATATTATTCAATAATATTATATAAGGCTAACATCCCCCCTCAAACTCACGATACTATAGCAAAAAGTAACAAGATTTTGTCAAGCAAGAAGCGAAAAACAATTAATTGGATGAGACTTCATGAAGAAGTCTGCAAGCTGTAATGATAAAGAAACAAAATGTAGAGAAATAGTGCCGATCTGCAAATGATGGGGAATCAAATGACAATCAATATCAATATACTTCGTGCGCTCATGGAACACAAAGTTCTGAGAAATCTGAATATCACTTTTATTATGACAATATATAGGGGTTGGACAGGAAAAAGAAACACTCATGTCTGTTAGTAACCAAAACAACCATACAATTTCAGTGATAGTGGATGTTATAGTACGATACTCTGCCTCAGTAGAAACAAAAGAAACAACAGTTTGTTTCTTACTCTTCCAAGAGATGAGGGAATCACCCAAAAATATAAAAAGACCAGTTGTGGACTTGCGATCGATGAGGTTATTAGCCCAATCAACATCAGAGTAGGAACGAAGCACTAAAGAGAAGCTCTATGGATAAAAGACTCTGAAAGCAAGTACCACGAAGATAGCGTAAAATACGAACAACAACTGCCAAACGAACTATAGTAGGAGCTGAAACAAACTTACTAACAATGTGAACAACATAAGTAATATTAGGATGTGTGATGATAAGATGAACCAGACATCCAACAATGGTGCGATACAAAGTCGGATTAGTTAAGGGTATAAACCCCCTCTTGAAGATTTCAATTCAAAAATGTATTTTTGACATCCAACTGAGAGAGACTCCACTAAAGATGTAACTGCAATAAGTGTATGAACGGTGGTCATCTTAGCAACATGAGCAAAAGTCTCATCATAATCCAGACCGTACTGCTGATTAAAACTCTTAGCACCAATCTAGTCTTGTAACTCTCAACTGAACTATTAGATTTGCTTTTAATATTATAAACCCAACGAGAACCAATAGCATGTTTACTTGAAGGCAATGCAACCAAGTCTCAAATAAATTATTAAAAAGTTGAAAATTAATTTTTTTAAAAATGTGCAAACGAGTCACAAATAAGTTATTAAAAAAATTAGAAATTAAATTCTTTTTAAACAAAATACAAATGAGTCCCAATAAATTTATTAAAAATTTTAAAAATTGCAAACGAATTCCAAATAAGTTATTAAAAAATTAATAATAAAAAAATTCTTTAATTTTTTTTAAATAGAAGGGTATATTCATCATTTCACAACTCTTTATTGAGTAATTAGATGAAAATGAATAAAAATGATGATTTGCATAATCAAATGTATAATTAAGGGTATGGATGTTTTTCGTTATAATAATGAAAGATATGGACATTATGTGTTAATTATCATTTTAATAATTTATTTGAGGATTCATTTACATTTTTTAAAAAAATTGGGACTATAGTAGCAATTAGTTTTTTCTTTTTCTTTTTATTTAAAGAGAAGTGTATATTTGATATTTCACAACTTTTAATTGAGAAAATGAATGAAAATGACATTTTGTACAATGAAATGTGGAAATAATGAAAGGTAAGAACATTTTCTACAATAATAGTGAAAGATTGGGACATTTTCTGTTATTTACCCTTTTTTTTTTAATTAATGGAGACATTATGTGCTAATTGTCCTTTTAATAATTTATTTGGGAATTCATTTGCATTTTTTTAAAAAAATTGGGACTATATTTGCAATTATTATTTTTTTCTTTTTCTTTTTGTTTTTATTTAAAGAGAATGATATATTTGTCATTTCACAATTTTTAATTCAGAAAATGGATGAAAATGACGTTTTGTACAATAAAATGTGGAAATAATGAAAGATAAGGACGGTTTCTACAATAACAGTGAAAAATGGGAACATTATGTGTTATTTACCCATTTTTTTATTAATGGGATTAAAGCAGCGATAACCCTTTTGTTTCTGCCCATAATTCAAGAGAACACGGATAGCAAAACGAGATGTCAACTTACTACATTAGAATTCAGGACGAAGAACAAAGCAAGTACAACCAAAATTCTTAATGAGGAGTAATCAGGAAAATCCCCATACAATATTTCAAAGGGTGATAAACTTGAAGTGTGGGAAGATGAAATCTTATTAATTAAAGAAATAACAATGAAAACTAGCTACTTTTCCCTAAAATTCACTGAAAACTTTAGTAGACAAGAGAAGGGAACGAGCAGTTTAATGTGCCTATTCTTTCGTTCAGTAACACCATTTTGTTGTAAAGTATTAGTACATGAGGTTTGATGAATTGTGCCATGAAGAGCAAGCAATTCAGAGAAATCAGTAGAAGTATACTCTCCACCCAAGTCATATGTAAAGCATTTAATTATAGCAGAATGTTGAGTTTTAATAAGTGTCTTAAAAGAACAATAAATAGAAAGAAAGTTATATCGTCGTTTCATAAGATAAACCCAATGTCCCTTTTCTTTGTAGAAGTTATACGCATCACTAGCAATTCTCACATAACCTTTGTTCTAATTCTGTGTAGACTGTTGAGAGGGTACAGTTAACACTGAGGTGCTAAATGGAGAAAGAGATACTTCTCCTACAAGAGATTTCAAATATGTTTCTTCAGCTACAAGTTCACTAACCACCGAATGGACTAAGGTAAGTGTAGTGGATGCTAGATAGAGTCTCTAAGTCCCTCAAAATCACTGCGAAGTGCCATAAAATAACTGAACTAATCGATGCTCCTGTCTAAAAGTAATATTATTTCTCACATGCTTTCAGTTCGGATGATTCCGTAAGAACCAACTCATCCCAAATTGAATTTATAGCGGCATAAAATTCGAGAATACTCTTCTGTTGTTAAGCCCGTATATCAATTTCCAACTAATACCGATTTGCAAAGTTAGACTTTATAGCTTTTGAAATTGATTCCAAACTTTCTTTGCTATTTCAAACTTTGCCGACTGTGTACAATAGATTGCTTAACAGAATTATGAATTCAAGTAAGAATTTTCGCTTTGTTTGATTCCCAATTATCCAACTCTGTCATATAATTTTCAAAATTGTTCTTGGGTTTCACAACAGTTCCACTAACATAACCCCACAATTTTTTTTCTTTTTAGAAAATTTCTCTTCACGGTACTCCAATATGAGTAATTTTTACCATTGTATCTGACATTAATGGATTGAAGTGAATCATCTCTTTCGATTGCCATCATAAATTCAACAAATAATCAACAACGAATCAATGACATCACCAAATTCTAAGGAAAACTAACGACAACCAATGTACCACCACAAACTACAATCGAAATATATTGCACAATACACGTATAACCAAAGTAATACTATCAAAAGATCAGAATTTTACTAAGGAGCAAACTACCTTTTGGAATCACCTCAAAAATCAAGCTCACTTGCCCTCACACGCTCCAAAAGTCACTGCATGTGAGTCCCACACGTCGTCGCCGCGCGCGATGCGTTTCGACCTGCTCAACAAGAATCTGGTCTCAATTTTCTCAACCGGTTTGTGGTTCGATCGGAATCGTGATTGTTAGTTTTAGTTACAGTTGAGTAGAGTTTTATACAGTTAGTTTTTTTTTTCCTTGGATTTTCAGCATATTACAATAAAAAATTTCACAAGTTTCATTCAACTATAGGCTCTAATATCATGTTAAATAACATGAGCTACCTTAAACTAATATAGTGAATCAAATTAAAGAGAAAAGAAGAAAGAGGAGAAGAAGAAGAAAGAGGGGGGAATATCAATAATATATTGAGTTGTCAAAAATTAGGTTTTCCATGAAATACACTAGTTTATATATTACAAGAAAAATAAATAAAAAGGAAATCTATAAAATAAAGAAATTAAATATTATGCAATAATATTATATAATGCTAACAAGTAGGAGCCTGTGAAAATTCAGTTAATCATTATCCTCCCTAAAAAATCACAGGCAGAAAAATCATTGATAGTGATACAAGCATATGCATCAATTCTTCCAGAACAAACCTTAAGGTAAAAGAAGATAAACATATTGAGAAATAATCCTGCAAAAATTTAACTGTGGAAGATCATTATCTAAGAATAACCAAGTCTAAGCTCTAGATCCAAATCTTCCACTGCGGCTTCTTGGAGCAAACTCTTGTTCGTGTCCAACCTAACAAACTCTTTGGTTTTCCAAACCCTATAATCATTTCTTGTTGTACAACCTGTCAACTCTTCTGCTTTAAGCAAGGACTCTCTGTTATGATTCTTTCCCATCTTCTCATCAACAATGAAGGCCGGTGAAGAGAAAAAATTGAAAGATGAATTCCTTGTCATATAAGGTGAAAACCTAGCTGTAGAAGATGGTGATGATGATGAAGAGGAAAAAATAGGGTTAGGGTCTGAATTTGGACGATCTTGTGATGATGACAGCTTCATTCTTGC